CACAGGGCCCCATGGTGCCCTGGCGCCCACGGCCTCCACCCACACACCCTCCCTGTCCCCTCCGTCTGGGCACTCTGCCCTCCCCTCCCCGAGACCTCTGACCTCGGGGACCCTCCCCACCGTCATCTGCATGCCGTGTCCGGCCTTGGTATCCTTGCGTGTTGCCGAGTCCCTCCACGTGGCCGGACCCGGTTCAGACCAGAGCCACATGCCTGGCGGCAAACTGCATTTGGGACACGGGGGTGCCCGGCCCCCCTCAGTCTCTCCAGGACGGAGACCTGAGCACCAGGATGTTCAAATTCCCGCCAGGGGTCCTCCCGCAGCCGACCACGGACCAGCCCTGGGACCTGCCTCCCTCAAGCCTTGCTGCATGCTGCTCTGGCAGGCCTGACCCCAGTGGGGAGTGGCGCTGTCCCCGGGGGGATGGGGCTCTGCTACCCCAGCCCGACTCGGGGGTGGGGGGCTGAGGAACGGAGAGGCAGTGGGGGCGGCAGCCGGAGGACCAGCCTGCAGTCTCCCCATGTGTCCCCGAGGGCGTCTGGACGGCTCCCCAGCCCGCTGGGCCTGCCTGGCCCGTGGGAGAGAGACCCTCCCTCTGCAGCACCCTGGAGTCTGTGGAGACCCCTGCCCTGTACCCCGCGCTCCGCCGGCCTCACCTCGGCTCTCATCCACGTAGATGTCATAGCGTTCCCACCCGTCCTGCTGCCACAGGGTGTAGGTCATCCAGCAGCCCTCCGAGTCCCGCTCCTTGCACGTCCTGCCATTCTGGGCGGGGACTTCCAGCAGCCGCAGGTTCCCGCACTTCGCGCTGCAGTTCTTCTCGAAGGGGCCCTTGTCGAACCGCAGGCACTCGGCACAGGAGCTGCGGGGAGGCCGGAGGGGCGTGGGGGGCGCGGGTGTAGGAGGATGCGGGGGTTAGAGGTTGCTCAGGTGTGGGGCTCGGGCGTGTGCCCACCGTGAGGGGGGTGGGGCACCCGCACGGCTGAGGGCAGGGTAGGAGCAAGGTCGGGATGGGGGGCGGAGGAGCCTGGACACCTGCTCCCGGGCCACAGATGTGCACCTGGAGGAGGAGAGGCCTGGGAGAGGCCCCAGCCCAGGGGCGTTTGGAGGGACCCTGCCCTGCAGCAGGCTCAGGGGTGTTCCCAGGGGAGCCGGCGGAGGTGGCTCTGGACAGTGGGGAGCTGCCCGCCTCCGCTGCACTCACCTGTGATTGCTGCAGGGCGAGGGGCAGGTCGGGCACTCCAGGCACAGGGGCGGCTGGTAGTGCTCCAGGCACTCGCACTGGTTGCAGCGGCACCGGCCGCGGCCACTGCACTCCACTTTCCGCTGGTTCAGGCAGCCCTCGGTGGTGCTCTGGCACTGGCACGAGGAGCCATCGTAGCCCTCCAGGCAGCGGCACTTGCCACAGAAGCAGAGGCCCCTCTCTGGAAGACAGCGGGCGGGAGGCTCACCTGCTGCCCGGCCCAGGGACCGAAATCTGCCGCCCCGCCCACACTCCTCCTGCAGTCCCGGCACCGCGACGCAGGGGCGCTGGATCACAGGCCAGGCCTTCCCGCCTCCCAGCCCTGAGGCCGCCTCCTGGCCCGTCCGGCCTCCATGTGCCCCCCTGTGAATGGGACCCCCACTGGGCTGGGACCTTTGCCCCTTGGGGCCCTCCCCATGGAGATGAGGAAACTGAGGCAGGGTGGGCTGGAGGGTCGCCCGAGGTCCTGCTGCCAAGCGCCTGAGCGAGACGCGTGCTGTCTGTCCATCTGTCCCCCACGTCCCCTCTCTGTGTTCCCACGCGGGCCTCCAGTGCACGTGGAGAAGAAAGCCACCCCCCGCCCGGCGGTCAAGTCTGTGCCCGCAAAGGACGGTGGCTGCACCACCTCCCCAGCCAGGCCCCGTAGGGAGGGACCCGCGGGCTCACTCGGGCCGCCGCAGACTTGGCTGTCGTAGCGTTCGCAGTTGACGTTGTCACACTCGCAGTACCGCCCGTAGATCTGCTTGTTGGGGACGTCGCTGGTGTGGCACACGCACTGCCCGCAGATGCAGTCCCCCAGCCCCGAGCAGACCAGGGAGCTGTTGTCCTTCCGGCAGCTTCCTTCCAGCTCCTGGCTGCTCCGGCCCTGCGTCTGGCACTCACAGTTTTTCCCAATGTAGCCAGCGTTGCACCTGGCGGGGGAGGGGTCAGAGGTCTTCCCTGCCCCCATCCGGGACAGCTGCCCTGCCCCGCAGAGCCTGCCGGCCGGGGCTGAGAACACCCGCTACGGCCCGTTGCCTCCTTGCTCAAGGCCTCCTGAGCACATGCCCTGCGCCAAGCACGCGGCGGGCCCCGGGAACCCAGCAGAGAGAGCCGTGCTCCCTCTGAGGACGTCTGAGAGGGGAGCAGACACGTGACCTTGGCCGTGAGCACGGTGGCTCGGCAGGTTCACCACGCAGCTGTGTCCTAGACCGTGCGGACGGTACACGGGGACGCTGGCGCTCCACAGACGGCCAGTGTCTGCTCCCGCGTGCCCCAGGCTCGCACTTGGCCGGCGGGGACTCGGCACTGCCGTCTACGATGGCTTCACCCGCACTCCCGCCTGCCGCTGGCAGGGTCTGCGTGCTGCCCGGGCAGGATGCAGGAGGACTCCGGGACAAGGGGTCTGGTTGGGCAAGGACAGCAGTCCCCAAGCCACTGGCACACAGAGGTGCTGAGAGCATCCAGGCAGCCAAAGAGAGGACCCCTCGACGGGCCGTCCTGCCCCCCCAGGAGGAAGCTGCAGGACAGAGCGTCTCCACTGCCAACGGCCCCACTTCCAACTGAGTCGTCCCCTCCATCCCTCAGGGAGGCCACCCGAGAGCTGCGTACCGGGACGGCAGGCAGAGTGCTGCTGAGGTGGGCACAGGGACAGCCACAGAGACCACCACTGTCCTGAGCTGCAGGAGGAGCAGGGGGGCCCAGGGGGCCTGAGGGGCGGGGAGGCACCTTGACAAGGGCGTGGCGGGCAGAGCAGTCAGGAGGGGAAGGTGGCTGGGGCACAGGGTGGGCACCTGGGGGTCACCCAGCAGCTCTGGCCAGGCAGGCTATGGCTCTGGACTCCTGAGCAGGTGGGGACGGGGATGGGGGGATAGCTGTCCAGCCCCAGGGCAGGCAGGACCTTATGGGGGGCAGCAGGCAAGGACTGGAGTGGACAATGGTGGGAAGAGGACATCCTGGGGGGGTCAGTCCTCTGTGGGTGGCCGCTGGAGTGGCCCTGGCCAATGTCACGTAAAGGTCCCCACTGCGCACACCTGCGCCCTCCCTTCGCCCTGAGGCGGGGCACCCACTCCTGACTGCGCACCCCGGGCCTCAGGGTGTGTGCACATCCCAGGGGTGGCCTGCAGGGCCCAGGCTACCGGAGTGGTCACCTGTCCTGGGAGGCTTTCTGGCTGCAGGGTGCCCCAGGACTGCCAGCCTGATGGCCCTGGGTCCCCAAGGCCACAGAGAGGTGGGCCCACAGGGGACAAGTGAGGCTGGGCAGAGAAAGTCACCTGCCCCAGGCACATCCAGCAGGGCTCCTTGCTCTGGCCCGAGATGTGTCTCCCTGCTCTGGTGAGAGGCCCCTGCCCACCAGTCCCCCTGCCGTGGGCCCTCCATGGCCAGAGCGTGGGGAGTACAGGTGGCATTGCGGATGCTCATGCAAGGGCAAGGGCTTGCGGAGGGCTCTGGGTGCGAATCCCAGTTCTCCTCCACCTGCTCCTGCAGGATGGGGCCCCTGGGGTACCTGCCCCGAGAGGTGGGGGTGGGGTGGAGCACCGTGGGCGGCCTGCACCTGCCTCACCTGCACGCACCTGCCCTGTGGGGCGGGGGAGGGGTGCTGGGGGCCGCCTGCACCTGCCTCACCTGCAGACGCCGCACTCCAGGGAGCCCTTGCCCTGGCAGAGGCTGTGTTGCTGGCTCTGGTCCCGGCACTGGCACTCGCACTGGGGAAGGACACGCACGGTCACCGTGTCCGTGAAGCCCAGCGGCCGGATGACGAACGACTGCTCCTGGACGCACTCTGTGGCCGTGACCTTCACCTGGAAGGTGATCTGTAGGGGAGCAGCAGGGCTCAGGCGGGGCCCTCGGGAAGCCAGGTCACGACCCTGCTCCCGTCCCCTCGCCCACTGGCCTCTGCAGAGCCCCGGGAGGGAGCGGGTCAACGTGGGGACTTCCAGTGTCATGTTAAAAATGCGACGAAAGCAAGTATTTTGCTGAATATTAGTTTGGCAAAAAGAAAACTCGAATGATTGGATTATAAACTTAAACCTAAAATATTAGGGAAATGCTGCCTATTTCCAGTCGTCTGTGTGGTCCACGCCTTAGTGTTTTTGTTAAAAAAGGAAAACACACCAAATCCAGAAAACCCACCCAGCCCAGGTTCCTGGTTTGCTCCTGCTCTGCGCGTGCAGTGCCCGCCCCAGGGGGCGCTGTCCTCGCTCGCACTTGCGCAGTCTACACTGGGGAGACCCAGGGATTCGGGCACGACTTGGGGGGCCAAGGAGTGTGCTCAGTCTTCCCTCCCTCCGACATTGCTGCCACAAACTCCACAGGGAAGCGTCTGCCTGGGCAGAGTGGACGTCTGAAGAAAGAAAACTGGACCAGCCAGTGGACGCTGCCTGCTTCCCTCCTGCTTGTCCCCATGGGGCCTCAGCTTGCCTGTGCGCCCTCCCGGGACCCCGGGTGCTTCCAGCTATCCCTGGGACCCTGCCAGTGTGCTGGGTGGGGACCCTCCATCCTTCCGGCTGTCTCTGGGATCGTGCCGGTGTGCCAGGACAGGGACCCTCCATCCTTCTGGCTGTCCCTGGGACCCTGCCAGTGGGCTGGGTGGGGACCCCGGGTGGGGAGCCCAGGTGCTTCCAGCTGTCCCCAGGACCCTGCCAGTGTGCTGGGTGGGGACTCCAGGTGCTTCCAGCTGTCCCTGGGACCCTGCCAGTGTGCTGGGTGGGGACCTTCCATCCTTCCAGCTGTCCCCAGGACCCTGCCAGTGTGCCGGGACGAGGACCCTCCATCCTTCTAGCTGTCCCTGGGACTGTGCCAGTGTGCCGGGACAGGGACCCTCCATCCTCCCAGCTGTCCCCAGGACCCTGCCAGTGTGCCAGTACGGGGACCCTCAGTGGCACGGCCAGGCTCACCGGGACGTTGATCTGCACGCCGTCGCAGTCCCCTCTGGGTTGGCCCGTGATTGTCACTCCATTGCTGCAGAAGGAGTCGTAGGTGACTTTCAGGGTGTCGGGGAGGGTGCTGTGCTCCAGGAAGACCCTGGAGGAGAGTTTCTGTGGGCAGAGAGCGGCGCGCTGAGGGCTGAGTCGTCTACCGTCCCGGCCCTGCCCTCTCAGTGGTCTGGGCTCGGCTGTTTCCCACCTCCCTCTGGGTCCCAGTGTGGACTAACGACACACACGCCACAGAGGGCGTGACGGGAGGTGCCAGGGATGGTGGGGCTGCCAATGCCCCGGTCCCGTCCCCAAGACAGGCCAACTGCAGGGACCAACGTGGACACGTGAAGCCCGTGAGGATGGGGCTGGAGCTGCCCCTCAGCCCTGCATCCCCAGGGCCCGGCACAGGGCAGGAGCTGGAGAGGTTGCTTAAGTGATGGGACAGCCAGAGACACAGAGACAGAGATGGGGAGAGACAGAGACTCAGAGACAGAGATGGGGAGAGACAGAGACTCAGAGACAGAGATGGGGAGAGACAGAGACTCAGAGACAGAGATGGGGAGAGACAGAGACACAGAGACAGAGATGGGGAGAGAAACAGAGACAGAGACAGAGACGGTGGGGCAGAGAGACAGAAAGTGACAGAAAAGGAGAGAAGAGAGACAGATGGAGAGACCAGACAGCATTGTCAGGCGAAGGAACCGTCGTGGCTGTGCCGCCGCACGTCTGTGTGCAGACAGGCAGGGCGGGCAGTGGCTGGGCGCTGGGGAGCCTGCTCTGGGGCTCTGGGGCTCACGGGCGGCTGCGAGCAGCACGGGCACCTCCTCCGCGGGCTCTAGTTAATTCAATGACCCGAGCGTCTGTCGGGGGCTCCCACGTGCTGGGCCCTGTCAAGCCACCAGGATGCTTGGCCTAGAACGGTCGCAGGCCAGGACTCCCAGAACGTCTCTCACGCGGGCTGGATTTCCAGAGGGGTTGGGGACCTCTGGGGCTGGAGCCCTGAGCGGTGCCTGGTGCCCGCCCGTGCCTATCGGGACAGTGGGGCCCCGCAGGGAGCAGCCCTGGGAGCAGCTGGACGGGCCACAGGCCAGGGAGGAGTGTGACGAATGAGGGCCTGTCCGCGGCCTGCCCAGGCAGTGGGGGAGCCGACACCCAGGAGACGCTTCGACCTGGGGCTGTCTTCGTAGGGCCCAAGACCACCCTGGTGATTTCTGGGGCCCCCTTCCCGCCGGGGCATTACCCGGCCCCCCAGCCGTCCACCCCCCACTTCTTCATGGAAACCAGCAGAGAAGAGCCTGGAATGGGGAGGGTTGGAGGTCGTGTGTCAGGGAGCACGCAGGCAGGTCTGGGCGGCACACGCCACACCAGCAACCAGAGAGGATGCGGGCCCCTGTGGGGAGCGGCCAGCCCGGGGCGTCCAGGAGGCCTGAGGGCTGGGCCCCGCCAGACTGCAGGAGGCTGCAGCCGCCCTGGAAGGCAGGGCTGTCCCCCACTCCGACCACCCTTCTGCTAGGGGTGCTCACGTTGTAGGCGTTCTTAATGAGCTGGACCACGTTGCCGGAGTCGTCGGACAGCTCCCCGACGGCCGACTTGGGGATGATCTCGGTGAGTTTCTGTCGGGCAAGACGAAGCAGGGCACAGCTAGAACCTGGTGCCATGGGAACCTCTGCCCCAGGGGGTCCCGCCAGTGGGAAATGGCTCCGACAACCCTCAATGCGGTTTCTTATTTCATGTAGTTACAAGAGCCACCCATGTGACGCGCTGGTAAGTAACGACTGGCTCTTGGGAAGTAAAAGCCCTGCGTTGTGGCGTCTGCGCATTGCTGCGCGGTAAACAGTGCAGCCTGGCGGATTTCAGGCTCGTGGCCTCACTGAGCTGGGACGAGATACGTGGCTGCTGCCGTTTGGTAGCGTTGCCACCACGAAGGACAGCAGGCGGAAGCAGCCCGAGCGCACGGATCACAGTAAAATGTGGTACGATCATCGGGGAGCGGGAAGTTCCCAGTGTTATGGTGAGTCTACATGAGTAAATTTTAACAATGACTGTGTTCCCCGTGACAGCCGCTGTGGCAGGCCAGTTCCAGCCGGCGCGTCGCCCTGGGGTGGGCGGAGCACCCTGCGATGCGGGGGGCCCCAGCCGGCCCCTCCCCAGCCCCTGCCCCGGCTCAGCTCAGCTCAAGGGCTGCACCGTTTCCCCAAACCCCGGATTCGTCCTCTGGCCCCTGAGAGCAGAGGGGCGGGTGTGAGGCGCGGGCTGTGCAGAGCGACGGGCAGGAGGGGGCAGTTGGCCGGGTCTGTTTGTCCTTTTGGATGAAGATGGCGATGGCGGGGACTGGCTGTCACTGCGGTCACTGTCCGGATGAGGATAACTTGGCCCTTCGGGGCAGCTGCTCTCTGAATTACTGGGTGGGTGAGCTCCGTGCCCCACGAGGGCCCTCCCAGGTGGGCGTCGCTGCCCTTTCCTAGAGGAGGAAACGGCATCCACGGTGAGAAGTGGCCTGGGTCGTCCGGGTGTAAGGAACAGAGCTGGGTTTGAGGTTATCCGACCAGGCCCTCTCGACTCTGAAGAACTGGTCACTAGGCTTCACAAAGTACGAGGACGACCGTGATCTGTCTTCCTTTGGACTGTCTGACACAGGGGCGTCGTCCGGCCTGAGGACCATCACTGCGCAGGCTGTCGAGAGCGGAGGGCTCCTTCCAGGAGGGAGGTGCGTGTTCCCTTCCCTCCGCCGAGTCCTTGCAGTGCAGGGGCAGCTCAGCAGGCCAGGGCTGGCCACACCCTGCACATTTGGCCCTGGCCAGACCCCGGGAGGTGACCTCTGAGCCTTTGGAATGTCCTGCCTGATGGGCGGTTTGTTTACCTGGGGACCAGGGCCACGCCAGACAGCCCAACGGTGGGGCGTAGGGTGGGGGGGTCTTGAGCAGTGTCAGCTCAACCTCTGCGGGCTGGGGACAGGGGTCAGCCCCACTCTGTGACCAAACCCCGTAAAAACCCTGGCCCCTAAGGCCTGGGTGAGCCTCCCTGGGGGCAGGGCTCTGAGCTTGTCACACATCATTGCTGCAGGGTGAGGCGCTGTCCACACCTCCTCGGGGAAGGGACTCCTGGGAGCTTGGGCCTGGCCTCTCCCGGACTCGACTGTGCGCCTTTTACCTTTGCGACTTTAACCTGTGTCCTCCACTGTAATCAACCGCCGCTGTGAGTTTAGTGGCTTTTCTGAGTTCTGCAAGTCTCTCCAGCAAATCGTGGAACCTGAGAGTGGTCTGGGGAACCCCGACAACCTCTGAGCATCTTGAATGCACGCTGTAGGCGTCACCCAGCACCCTGCTGTCTTCTCGGGGCAGGCCACACACGTGTCATTAGCAGCAGAAATGCAGGACACGGTACTGGTCAGCGCTCTGGAAACAGCCTGTGCCTGCCTGGCCACTGCCGACAGGACAGGACCATGCCCACGCATAGAGGGAGCAAGGAGCTGCAGGGTGCCACCCTGACCACTGGAACATCTTTTTCAGTCCTGCAGCCGCTCCACACTCTGTGACGCCAATGGCCACTGTCTTCAGAGATAAGTGGACGGGGGAGGCCCTCTGCTCTGGGGGCTGCATGGGCCGAGGGCACCCCAACAACGTGAGTCAGGCTCTGGCTTCCTCCCAGGGTCCTCGGTTTCCACAGCGGGCGGGTGGAGATGAGCTCCGGGGCTGTGGGGTTTGGGGAAGTCAGTCCTGATTCCACTTGCACTTTCCAAACCCAGACGCGGGGTGCAGACGGGGCGCATCCTCCTCCAGGCGGGGTGGAGGGGCTGTTCCAAAGCCAGTGCCGAGGCCCAGGGTCGCGTTTGCTTTGGTTTTTGCTCCTGCTGGTCGAGGCGTTTAGTGAAGGCTTGTCCCAGCCCCTGGGTGGGCTGCCGCCAGAGCCACCCCCTTGTGGTCACCTCTCACCTCAGTTCTGCTGCTCTGTCTCCCTGGACGGGTTGAAGTAGACGCTCAGAGAGCTGCCCAGACTTGCTCACTGAGCGGAGGCCCCAGACGCGTGCCTGGAACATTCCATGCCCTGGCGGGGAGCTGGCTAACTGGAAGCCTGCCTGCATCCCGGGCAGAGGCAGTGTGAAGAAGTTGCTGGTGCTCTGGGCTCGGCAGCCTGGGGCTCAAATCCTGACCCTGCTGCTCACTAGGGGCGCACGCTTGGGCTGGTGGCCCATCCTGTCCTGCCCTGGCCTCCTTGTCCGCTGCGTCAGCCTCCCGAAGCCCGTCCCTGTTGTGTCCCGAAGTTTGAGGACACCACCTCTAACACCAAGATGATGCTGTTAATATCACCGAATTTCAGGGGCCGGGAAAAATTGCTTCTCGTGTCCACACGCGGGTGTTCTGTCGCCTGCGAGGAAGCCTCAGGCTTCTCAACCAGGGAAACCGAGGCCGGGCCAGGCCAGCTGTCCACGCCCAGCACGTGGCAGTGGCGCTCGGGCCTGCGTGGCGCTGGGCCTTGTCCTCCTGCCGCAGTGGCGGCCCTGCCCCACGCCCAGGACCCTGACTCCACTCACCTCGTAGGTGTTCACCATCTTCTTGGTCACGGCAAAGATGGGCTGGATGTTGCTTTCGGCCAGTTTGTGCGCCAGCTGGCCCACCGACGGGTAGTCCTGGGGAGAGGAGACACCCGGTCAGTCGTCCCCGAGGCCGCTCGTCGTCCCCTCCCGCCCGCGGAAGCAACTGCCCAGGGCCCAGAGGGCGCCGCCGCGGCTCAGCCTCGGCCCTTCCCTGTGCTGCTGGTGGCGCCTTCGCTGCGGAAGGTGCATAGATGCGCGAACGGAGCACGATGGGGAGACCAGTTAGACTGAGATGCGGCTGAGAAGCTGCTGGACACTATGAGCTCCTCGACTGGCGCAGCGACAAGGAAGCCTAGTGGCGCAGCCGCGCCCGGACTGTCGCAGCCACAGCAGCGTGGGCGGCATCGGGAGGGGTCTGTGCGGGGGCGCTGGGGAGATGCCGCGCATGCCCCCCACGCGGCACCTCCTTTCCTCACCGAAGCGCCCTCGGGTTCCGCAGAGGCCCCTGCACGGGAGGCGGTGCTCCCTCCTGCCCACCGTCACCCCCCGAGTGCTCCGCCCTCGCCTGTGGCTGCGGATGGAGGACCCCGAGTCGCCCACCTCTAAAGTCCTTTGCGGCCCCAGAGTTTGCGATTTCGGGACATGTCGCACAGTGTCACAGCCGGCAAGGACACCCCCGGAAAGATGGTGGCCTTGAGGCCAAGCCAGAGAGTTCCTGACCTCTCCATCCACATTTCCTCATGGCCCCTGTGGCCCGCGCCGGCTGGGCCCTGGAGGGTGTGGGGCCCACGTGGCAGGGACGGGACCTGGGCCACGCTGCGGCCTGGGGCAGTCGCTGCGTCTGACTCGCCAGGCCCAGAGCAGACGGCGCCTGCACTGGCCAGGCCCGCAGCAGGGTGGCGACCACAGGGCCCTGGCGCACGAGGGTGAGGCTGGGGCTCAGCCTGGACCACCCACCACCTCCTCTGCCTGCGACTGGTCCTGAGAGACCCAACACTGCCTCTAGGGGCTTCTGGAAATTTCTTCAAGTACTTGCTATTTAGGTTGGAAGGCGGCGCCTGGCTCTGGCGAGGTGGTGACCCTGCCCTCGTCGCCCCATAAATGGCCAGTGGCCACAGGGCCTTCCACCCGCTGAGGGTCTCGGCCCCTCGTCCCGCCAGGCAGCACTGCGGAGGACGCCGGGGGAGGGGGCGCGCTCACAAATTCGTTGCTGCTTTTGTACATGTTGTCCTCCAGGTGACAGCGGCCGTCGTTGGGGGTCAGGATGGCACCGAGCTTCCCGTCACCCGCAAAGTGGAAGCCATCGTCTGTGGCAAAGACCAGCAGCCGCGTGACGTTGCGCCAGC